ATCTGGGAAGTCCGCCAACTTTAAAGGCACATTCCGCGATAAAATAAGGCTATGACCTCTCAAATGTGTCGGACGATCCGGAAGGCGATTTTTGAGGCTGCGCTACTTTCAAAATGTGAAACGGCAAGAACTCGCTAGAAGCTGGCTAATTAGGCATGCGAACCCTTAGGGGCCCATGCCACCCTCACCGGCTGCTAGCCATAGCTAGTAGCCACTATGTTATCTTTCTCTATAACATTTCGGACTGCTTTTACTGCTGCTTTTCTCCGCTAATCAGATACTTAGCACTTTTTTGTGCCTATTTGAGTTCCGTTTCCCGCAATTTGCGGTCGCGAACTGTGCCTTTAAGCATTAGTCGTAAAACAGCTTCGAGAATCTATCGATGTACCTTAGATTCGATTCCAAAGTTCTATGCAGAAGTTGACTTGCCTATGTCAGTGGTAACGGTCAGCGTGCAAAAATGTGAGGGATTGACAGGCCGAAGAGAGCAGGAAAACAATGTGCGCCTGAGTACCCAGCCACACATGTAAGCGTACTCAGCTAGCTAACCTACCAGGAGCTGAAACTGTCAATGATTGGGGTCCAAGTGTTTTCCGCAGCAGTGGCACGCATCGTCTCCTATAGTACCAGAGCACACCCAGTGCTTCTCTACATAATCATTAATGACGAACTTTCGAACTTTATTGAGTTTCCGTTCGAGAAAAAAGTTTAGCAAGCCAAGTTCGACAGTGGGGGCGTTAGTTGCAAAGAACAAACAGACGATGTGAGTCACTTCCCAGGCTTTCCTCTGACGAATCTAGATCAATTTTTGAATGGCATAGCGCCGCAAGACGGAAAACTTCTTTTGGAAGAGCGGCTGAATAGATCGCTATCAGAAGCAAGGAACACCCTACTAGAAGAGACTGTCTACCGTAACCGGCAATCTTCTCATGGAAATTACGAGGGAATAAAAAAATGCCGTCGATGAAAGAGCGCTCTTATTACCTTCCACTATACATTTTTGCATTCACTAATGATTCAAGAAAAACTCTACCAAAATCTCTCCTTAACTGTCCACCGAAATGTTGAACCTCAAGCACGGATAGCCAAAGATCGGTCTGACCCTCTTGGCAACCAAGAAAGTATATCATAGCTGATTGTTGACTTACACTCCATTACGAGGGGTGAAAAGGGGTTCTGCGAAGTGCCCGGCGGCGGCTACATATCCTTGCGTCAACGCTGCTGTCTTACACTCCGCCTGTGCCTCTTTTCCAGATTGTGTTTCGAAGCCGTCGCAACCACATACCAGGAAAGCCCGTTTTTATCCTTAGATGTGGAATGTAGCACCAACAGGCAACTATTCTCTGTTTGGTCCAGTGAATGACAAATCTCCGAGGGACGGCCTTTCTTATGTGCGAAGTGAATGGGTCGGCAGCTGCAGTGGCGTACCAATTTCACCGCTCTGAAGTGGGCTGGAACGGAGCTTGAGGGTAGTAAACCACTGGTGTCGTCTCCAATCTCCTCCCGCATCCTGAAGGTGCAACGCTTGCGTCGGCACCAAGATTGCGAAACACGCTCTCAGCGGTGGAGAACAGTTAGGAGTGAGAGAGCGCAGACAATTAGCTGGTAAGGTTATGGTTAGGCGTGCGATTGGCAACGCCGCAGCGCGGGCGGGGTATGGAGACAGCACACTAGTGACACTGTGGCATGTCAAACGGCATGCTTCTCGAGAACAGTGGAATGTTGGCTTTCTCGAAGCCGAGAAACCCTGAGCTTGCAGGAAGTCGTAGTGGAAAATGGTCTGGAAACTGAGACGGTCCAGGGAGCCCTTTAAGAATCAACTTGGACGAAGCCCTTGTAGATCCGTCCCTTACGCCCTCTACACCGATGGAGTGCCTAACATTTTCTACCTTCTCAGCCACCCTGCGTGTCTTCCAGACAATACCAAAGGTGTACACAGCAAGCACACAGGCGTGTTTCAAACATGGATAACTGAACCGGCTTACGGTATGCACAACTGTGCCATTCCCGGGCCGACGTCAGAGCCAGTTCAGCCCTCATATGGTTAGTGACCTTATGTCAGCACTATTTCGAAAGAACATTTTAATATAGATTTTGATACGATCAGCTGAAACGCTAGGGGTGCTTCAAGCGATAGCATGCTCTCCTTTTAAAGAATGACTCGTTTAGTTAGAGCTACAACAACATTGAATGAGAGATTTATTCGAATGATTAAATTCAATCGCACTTAAGCAGTCTTTGCCATCTTTCTTCTGAGAACGCGCTTCTTGCGGAAACGACGACGAGCAACATTACGGTAACCACCAGGGTTTCTGTAGCCACCGCTACCTGCACCATTAGCGCCACCTCCGCTGACTCCTCCACCATTGCCGCCTCCGCCAGGACCATATCCGCCACTGCCGCCTCCACCATTGCCGCCTCCGCCGCCACCGCCGATACCGCCGCCACCGCCGTTTCCACCACCGCCGTTTCCACCACCGCCGTTTCCACCACCGCCGTTTCCGCCTCCGCCATTGCCGCCTCCGCCACTTCCATTACGTGGAGGACATGGGCAATATTCTCCATCGCCACCGGGCGTCGCATCCGTTCCAGGATTTCCGGGTGATCCAGGAGCTCCAGGCTGTCCTGGATTTCCAGGAGGTCCAGGTGGTCCTGGTGGTCCAGCGTTGCTACCGCCACCGCTGGTGCCATCCTGTCCAGGCTGTCCAGGTGCTCCATTTGGTCCTGGGGGACCGGGAGGTCCGGGCTGTCCTGCTCCGCTAGTTCCAGGTGCTCCTGGTTGACCGGGAGCTCCAGGTTGTCCATTACCTCCAGGCTGTCCAGCGTCTCCAGGTGGTCCGGCGAGAGATCCAGGACCGTCGGTGACAAATCCAGATCGCCCCGTGGTGTTCCGGCGCCTCGCCGGAGGAGCTCCTTGGGTCCATACATTGTCTCAGCGCAGGATCCAGGTGGTCCAGCATCCTTCCCATCCCAGCGCCGCCCCGTGAGTCGGTCCTGGAGGACCGACCTGGCGCACAGAATGCAACCACCGCCCCCATTATTTGAAGAGGAGCCACCGGGGATTTCCTGGCCTTCCAGCCTGTCCAGGCGCTCCAGGCTCACCAGCCAAACCAGGTTGTCCTGGTGGTCCGGGTGGTCCTGCAGGGCAGCCGCTGGCTTGTTGGCCACAGTTGCATGATCCTCCTCCTCCAGTGCTGTAGCCAGACTGTCTGCGTGCTACAAATGCTGCACGTTTGTCTCGGGCCATTTCGGGAGTAGTTTTCATCTCGTGCCATGCGGAATTGGCAAGGTCCTCAAATGGGATGAATAAGTCACTTTTTTAACTTTTGTTTCGTTCGCTTTAACTTCTTGTGAAAAGCATCAACTTACTTGGAACTATCAAGTTCAGAGATGATGTCATCGTAGAAGGTGTTGATGTCGTTGACGATGTAGACGACAGTCACCAACGAGACAACGACGGCCACTGCTGTAACAGCGGCTACCCCACTAGCCAAAGTGGTGGTTCCATCCCTGAACCAAGACGAGCTTCACAAGCGGCAATTTTATTTAAATGATGTAATACATCAAAATTTGCAGAGAAGAGCCACAAATCAAGGTGTAGGAATCTGTTAAGAAAGTTTCTGACGGCGAGAAAACTGTTGTTCACCTGCAAGCTTTTGTTTGTTCTCTATATTGACGAACCTCCAAGCTATTCGACAGTTGATGAACGTCCTTGTATGCATTGCAATTCTCCATAGCGAGAAATAACAACTGAAAGTTCTTAGCGAAGGCCATAAAGCCGAGTCGGCATAGCTTTTGCGTTTCATGCCAAACGATAGGGGTGGTAGGAGGTGGCTGATTGTCATAGCCATGAACACGATATTCGTACAGTTAACAATACATTACTTGCGTTGAAATTGTTAGTCGTACGAATGGGCTGTGCAAAGCCTCTGACAAAACACGACCCCCTGATCCCATCCTACAATACGACCTCCCCCCCCGTGCCACCTGGATTTTCCCAACTTCCTACCGATTTTTCCTTTTTTTTCTCAAAAAATTTCCAATTTTTCAGCCAACAATTTTCCGTCGAGCGGGGTGGGAGGGAGGGATGGATATATACCCTTCTCAGATTTCCCCCAGTTTTTCCGGACTTTCTCGAAAAATTTCTGGTTTTTCCCCAAAATTTCGCTATTGAGCGAAGGGGGGGGTGGAATCTCGTCAGGATTACCAAGGATAACTACCACTTTCAACTATCGGAAAGTAGTTGTGTAGAACTTCTCACTCCCTCTCTCAGCAGCGCCTCGATCCACTGCCAACTTCTTTCCACCACTTTTTTTTCTGTAGGAACAAACGCGTTCTCGCTGGCAGAATCATCATGGATTAAATATGTGAGAGGATGTAATTATCGCCCAGACAAATGAGGCAGACTGGAAAGGTGATTCCAATCAAGTCGCTAATTTCCTGTATTGCTTCTATTTCCCCCAGTAAAAGAGGCTTCGAAACTCTCACGGACGCATATCAATGTAGAGACATTGCGAAGGGGCGCGTTATTTTCAGGTACTCTCATCAAGATTCAAACCTAGTGGCAGTTTCAGTACATGTAGCTGCCTGGAATCCTCATGGGGAGATGGTTGCGATACCGAGAAGCAAGCACACATACGAAATATGTTTCCCTAGAATTCAACGCAGTGGATTAGACAATTCGAGGGCATTCGTTTCCCTGAGCGAAAGGTGAAATTCGTGGACCGCAGGGGGACGCCCTAAAGCGAAAGCATTTGCCAAGAATGTCTTCATTGAAGGCAGTTGGCACGATAAATCCTCCCAGGACTAATACGCCTGGCAGGACGGAATTCCGCGACCCTGAGCAGGCGCTGCATAATGCCTTTTCCAAGGAAGGTGCCCTTATAAGGGCCGCTATCAAGCCACAACTTTACGTCCCAAACGCCCCTTGCCCGCCGA